TGGCTGGGGAGGCCTCACAATCATGGTGGAAGGCAAAAGGCACATCTTACATGGCAGCAGACAGGAGACAGAGTGAGAGAGCCAAGTGAAAGGGGTTTCCCCTTATAAAACCGTCAGATCTGGAGAGACTTATTCACTACCACGAAAACCGTGTGGGAGAAACCGCCCCCATGATTCAATTACCTCCCGCCAGGCCCCTCCCACAACATGTGGGAATTATGGGAGTACAATTCAAGATGTGACTTGGGAGGGGACACAGAGCCAAACCATCTCGGCGTCTATGCACACGTCTGAACTAGGTACAGAAAGCTCAGCCAGTGGCTCAAGCATGTCATGTTATTGAATGGAACTGGGGCTGCTCACCCAGTGCGGTAAGACCAGCTATCCACATCAAGCTTTTGCAGCAGAAGAAAGGAAGGCATTTATTTGCAGGGCAGCAAGCAAGAAGAATTGGGCAGCTCATGCTTAAGTCCCAACTACCCAGTTGGCTTACAGGGAAGGATTTTTAAAGCTGGGAGGCAGAGGCCACAGGCAAAGCCACAAATCAGTACAGGAAGGCTGTACATTTAGTTTGATTTAAAAAACCAGACATCTGGAAGCAGAGGCCCCCATAGGCTCACATTGGGACTAGTAATCCCAATACTTAGGAAGGTGGGATGGGAGGATTAATTGAGGCCAGGAGTTCGAGACCAGCCTGGACAACATAGGGAGATTCGATCTCTACAAATGTCATAGGTGAGTTCAAAGATTTTCTGATCTGTGATTGGTTAAGGAGGTGAAGCTTTGTCTAAAAATATGGGGTCTGCAGAAAAGAATGTTCACTCTGGCCTGTAGGTGTGGCTTCCTCCAGACCCCTCAGGAAGAAATTTAGAACAAGAACCACAGTTAGAGTTTAGCTCTCAGTTTCCCCTTATCTGAGGTCTGTGTGCTAATTGATCAGTTTAATGGGGTCCAGGTTTCTGGAAAACTCAAGGACGTACACTAAGATGTTTTGTTTAGATTCCATAGGGAATAATATGGTTTGACTGTGTCCTCACTCACATCTCATCTTGACTTGTAGCTCCCATGATTCCCACTTAGGGATAGGGGTGGGGATCCCCACCACAAGTCCCTAAGTCATGAGAGGTAACTGAATCGCGGGTGCAGGTTGCCCCCATACTATTCTCGTGGTAGTGAGTAAGTCTTACATATCTGCTGGTTTTATCCATGGGAGCTCCCCTGCACATCCTCTCTTGCCTGCCACCATGTAAGACATGCCTTTGCTTCTCCTTTACCTTCGGCCATGATTGTGAGCCCTCCCCAGCCATGTGAAACTGAGTCCATTAAACTTCTTTCCTTTGTAAATTACCCAGTGTTGGGTATGTCTTTATTAGCAGCATGAGAACAGACTGATACAGGAAACAAAAACTTTCCTGAATCTAACTTTCTTGGCTATTGTTTTAAGCTACAGTTACCTTCTTGCTTATCAAGTTGCTGGTTTACTTCTCAGGGCTAGCTAGGTGCCTGGAATTTCTTTGAAGGAACTCAAGATTTTCTGTGTTTTCATGCTGGGGTAGGGGAGGGGTACCCTGTAAGTCCCTAAGAGTGGTGCCTGTTCCATCTCAGTTTTGAGACTGCTAGGGAACATATGATCCAGCAATCCCATTGCTGAGTGTATACCCCAAGGAAAAGACAGTAGTGTATTGAACAGGTATCTGCACTCTGATGTTTGTTGCAGCACTGCTTACAAGAGTTAAGATTTGGAAGCAACCCAGCTGTCCATCAACAGATGAGTGGATTAAGAAAATGTGGTACGAGTACACAACGGAGCACTATTCAGCCATAAAAAAGAATGAGATCCAGTCATTTGTCACTACGTGGATGGAAGTGGAGATTGTTACGTTATGTAAAATAAGGCAGGCACAGAAGGACAAATATCACATGTTTTCACTTATTTATGGGGTCTAAAAATCAAAACAATTTTGTAATCCCAGCACTTTGGGAGGTTGAGGTGGATGGATCTTGAGGTCAGGAGTTCGAGACCAGCCTGGCTAACAAGGTGAAACCCCGTCTCTACTAAAAATGCAAAGAATTAGCCTGGCGTGCTGGTGCGTGCCTGTAATCCTAGCTACTCAAGAGGCTGAGGCAGGAGAATCACTTGAACCTGGGGAATGGAGATTGCAGGGAGCTGAGATTGCGCCAATGCACTGCAGCTGGGGCAATAGAGTGAGACTGTCTCAAAAAAAAAAAAAATCAAACAATTGAACTCATGGACATAGAGAGCCTATGGCGGGAAAGGGTGAGGGGCGTTGGGTGGGCGGTGAGGGGGATGGGTAGGTAGGGATGGTTAATCGGTGAAAAGTCAGAATGAATAAGATCTATTTGGTAGCACAACAGGGTGACTATAGTCAATAATAACTCATGTATTTTACAATAACCTAAAGAGTGTAATTGGATTGTTTGTAACTCAAAGGATAAATGCTTGAGGGGATGAATACCCTGTTCTCCATGATGCACCTATTTCACGTTGCATGCCTGTATCAAAACTTCTCGTGTACCGCACAAGCATGTATGCCTACCATGTACCTACGAGAATAACAAATAAAAAAATTAAAAAAGATTACTAGAGATGTAGGGTCCACACAAGATAGTAATAATACAGGTTAGCAAATGGTACATGCCAAAGGCGTGTCACCCACGAGTGCTTCAGGGACTGTGAAGCCACGCCCAGGTGACAGGCCAGAAGGTACACACACACGCGCGCACACACACACACACACACACACGACCCTGATTGTGCTGCTGGCTGGCAGAAAAATCATGCCCAAACTTTCCTGGCAGTTGAACCAGACAGTGGAGAGGTGATTGCTGAGCTGTTTGGAGGAGCCGCTTACAGCAGCATTGGCTGCTTTTGTTCCTGATTGGTGTGAGCATTTTCACATGTATCTTTTCTCTGGTTCTGGAATCAGAGGCATCTGAGCTGGTGAGCAGTCTTTCTGCCTCCAAGAGGGTACAAGAAACTGGGGACCCGGGAAAGGAGGGTGCTGTGAGGAAAGACTAGCCTGCTTCAGCCAGGTTTGTTGTTCCTTCTTTATTGGCACAGCCTTGGGGGCAGCAGAAAGGGACTGGCAAGCGTCTAATCTGCCTACGGGACAGTCTGAGACCCACCTTGCTGCTTTGATTCTTTCTCTTGCCAAGACAAACCTTGGTTGCGCTGTGTACTCCGTCAGCCCCTGGGAGGCAGACAGGTGGGGACTGGGAAAGGCGACTGCTGACTCCGAGCAAATGCATTGCCCTTGAGACCCGGGGCCGGGAGAGAGGGGGCTGCCTGGGCGGAGACCCAGCAGAGGTCGGCTCATGGGCAGGTTGCGGACGGTCTGCGAATCTGTAGCTCACACCTGTGCCCAAGCGCCCTCTCCCTCCCATCAGATCCATCCTGTGACCTTGGGAGAAGTGGGGGCCCCGCCACGTGTTCTGAGGCCCTGGAGGGGGGATCCGTGGTGGGTGGGCGATGCCCCGCGGCATTGGTGCCTCCCTGGACGTTGCCGGGGCGGTCACGCGGCACCCCCCACCCCCGCAGTTCGGGCCATCGGCCCCTCCGCCCTGGCGCCCTGCCTTCCCCTGGTCTCAGGTGTGACCGTGGCCCTGGGACGTGGGCACCGGGATAAAGTAGCGAAGGCGACTGGCGCGGGGCGAGCTGCCTTGTGCCGACGAGCAGCAGTTTGCGGAGTTAACGTGGGCAGCGCCTTCGGGAAGGGAAGGAAGGAGCGCCGTCTGCCCAGCGCCCGCCCGCCCCCCGCGGGCTGCCTGTGTGTGCCGTGCATGTGCGCGCGAGTGTGTGCGTGTGTGTGTGCGCGCGAGTGTGAGTGCGCGCGCGCCGAGGCGTTCCTCAGGTTGCGCTGCCTGGAAACCGAGGGAGCCATTGGAGAGGCGGAGGGTGGGGGTGGGGGTGGGGGCTCCTCGACCCTCGGAGGAGCCGGGGCGCAGGCTGCCGAGGCGAGCCTAGAACCCGGTTCCGGAGCGCGAGCGCGGGCGCGGGCGGAGGGGGACGTAGCCGCCAGGGAGGAGGAGCCGGGAGGAGGCCGGAGCTGCATGGAGTTTCTGGGGCGCGCAACTCCGGCAGGGCCTTGGCCACTGCGCTCCGGGGCGCAGCGCGGCAGCCGCGCACATGGGCTGAGCCCGCGCGGCCGGCGGCAGCGGGAGGGGTAGAGGAGCGCGCGGGGCGGGGTGCGGGGTGCAGGGCACGCGTCCCCAGGCGGGAGCGGAGGACACAGACAGGGAGGCTCGCGCCCAGACCGCGCTCCGAGTCGGCGAGGGGCTAGTGCCGGTCCCGGCGCGCGCGTGGGGAGCGGCCCGGGGGCGCCGAGGGAGCCGGCGGTGGCAGCGAAGATGCCGGCGCGAGGACGCGGCTGCCGGCGGGGGGTGTGAGCGAGACGCTGAGCGCTGCCGGCGCGGCGCCTCCATTCCGCACCGCCCCCTCCCTGCCGGCCTCGGAGGAAGCCCCCCGCGCGGTGCGGAGGCGCGTCGGCTGCCGGGCTGCGGGGCCCCGGCGCAGCGTGAGGTGAGTGCGGCCGCCCGCTCCCCGCCCCGCGCGCGACCTCTCCTCCCTCTTCCCGGGGTCCTCGCCCCTCTCCCGGGCGCCCAAACCCCCGGGCTGTCGCGGGCCCCCGTGCTCGGAGTGGGCGGGCGATCCGCGGACGGCGCCTCCCGGACCTGTTGGCTCCGACACCGTTCCCTCCCGGCGGCTGCGGCGGCCCGGACCCCCTGCCCTCGGTGGAGCTGCCTCCTGGCCGCCGGCCTGGGGGTGTGGGGTGGGGAAGGGCCGCGGCTCACTCGGGTGTCCCGGCACCGTGCGCGCCGGAGGTTGCCAGCCGTTCCTCTGCCCCCAGGCGCCGGTGGCCACCAGGCTGCGCGCGCCCGGGCGGTGGGGAGGGAGGAAAGGGGACCCGGAGCCGCACCGCAGCCCAGGTGGGAGCGCCCGGCGGCAGCCAGGTCTCCTCGGGAAGCCGGAGGGAGTCATGGCGATCGGGGGAGGCGGGAGGCAGGGTTCACTCCCTCTCTAGCCCAGGCGCCGACTGCTCGCCTTCCTGGGCGCACGCTCCTGGCTGCCACCCGCCCGGGTCCGGGGGCGCCGGGGTGCAAGGGGTAACCGGAGAGGCCTCTGCAGTCCGGCTGGGACCCAGTCCCCGAGCCCCCAGCAGCCGGACGAGTCTGGCGCCTGGGCAGGGGTGGCCTGCGTCTTCCGCGGGCAGTCTGGGTTTACTCGGGTGCCCAGTCTCCCCGGACTAGCTCAACGCGGAGTGAACTTCCCGAGACTTGGTCCGAGGGCGCCCAGGCAGCAGCAGGTAGTTCTGGGCCGGCTTCAGGGCGAGGGCGAACGGGGGACGCAGCGTTCCGACGGGCCGGGGGCGCCGAGGGCATCGGCTTCGTCGTAGCCTCGGGCCACGTGCGCCCGGGCCGCCACCCCACCGCGGCTTCCCACTGCTCTTTTTTCTTGGACGAGGCTTGTGTGAGGAAGGCGCCTTTCTTCCATTTGGGTCGAAGCCCTTAGCTCCCGGGTGAAGCGGTGCCTGCAGTTCCCTGGGTGCCAAGACTGGGGCGCCAGCCGTCCCCAGGCCCTGAGCCGGCTTTCTGGGGAAAAAAAAAAAAAAAAAAAAGACTTTCTTGGGCTCAGGGAATAGCAGCTTAGCGCCGGCTGCATGTGGCTGGGAAGTCTGTTTAGTGTTGATAATAACTACATTCTAGAGTGCCCCACAGTAACCTCTGCGACAGAGTTGAGATGACCTTCTCAGAAAGAATGGGTAAATTTCTGCGCTGCTGGTGTGCAGACAAACGCAACATTTGTGCACATGTGAGAACTCAAGAGCTCCTAGGATTTTCAGGTTCTGCTTCTTTAACTGCTGACTTTTGCTCAAAAAGGGAAATTATTTTTCAATTCAGGCATCAGAGCTTTTGGAAAGGAATTTAAAGCCATTTGGTGTGAAATTGTCTTGAGGCTAGAACAGGACGTGTTTTCATAGGCGCCCGATTCCAGCTCTCCTCCCTGGCTTGTTGGTGGTTTTATTTCATTTTTGTGGGGTGGGAGGAGGTGTTAGAAGAAGAATGTGGAGGCTCGATTTTTATCTGCCACCTGTGTGTACTGATGCCCAGGTGTCCTCTCAGACCTCTCAGCCTTGCAGTTCTGTCACCACGCCCAGTTTAGGATTCATTCCTGGGCTCCAGGAACTGCATAACTTTGCTGGTTCCTCAGGCAATCGGTGGGGTCCCCGGCCAAAGCCCCAAGCATGCCCTGAGCCGTGTTTCCCCAGCGGCCTGCCCTGGTGGAAGCCCCGTGGAGGGCTCTGTTTGAGTTCACTGCAGACGTGTGGGTGTTCATGGCAGGAGCTGCGTGGAGCTGTTTACTGAGAAGCTGTTCTACGACAGTGAAGTTGGTTACTGGGTGTATCTAAGTGGAGTAATGAAAACAAAGCTCTTTGGAAATCCAATCCTCACGATATGTTTTTGGCAGAGAGCTAAATCCTCTTAGAATTGTTCACCAAGATGTCACCTTTCCCTGAACTCTGAAAGCAACTATTGCCAGTAACCAGGCCTTCAGCTAGGGTGCAGGATAAGGGCTTTTTAGAAAGGAAATAATTTAATTCAGCTGGTTCTGCTGAGAAACGGACGGGCAAGACTTGACGGGTACACAGGACGCCCTTTCCTCTGTAAGGGGAGGGGGTGGGACGGGGCCGGGGGTGGATGACAGCTGTTCTTTTGTTGAGTTTTACATTTATCTCCCCAGTGGGTGGCTTCTGATTCCTCCTTAAATATTGGGCAGGGCTGGGGTCCCTTTTAGAAATGCCTTTTTCATAGCCAGTGGCCTCGGGAGGGTCACCAGCAGGGGAGGGGATCTGTGGCTGGCCCCTCCTCTTGTTGGGGCGTGTGCCCCGGTGTCTTTGACCACATTCTTGTACTGACAACCATGCAGTGCCCGCCGGGTGTCAGAAGGGGGCACTAGTTCTCATCACGAGAAAAATTCTGAGTGATGGAACTTTGGACGTTTAAAGCCTTTGAGGGCCCCTTAATTCAGAGTTCTGAGGTCCCACTCGTGTCCCAGAGCCTTTCACACCTGTGAGCTCATGTCATGAGTATAAAAATGGGTATTCCTCATTTTTCCTGTTTGGAAATGGATGCTAAGGGAGGTGAAATAACTTTTCCTGGGGCTGTGTCACCTGCAGCACAGAAGCAGGGTTACGACTGGGTGCTGACGGGCTGCGTTTCCGTCCTTCGCGCCGCACACTTTCCACACCGCTTCCTTGTGACAGGAAGAGCGTTTGGGAACTTTTGACCTGCAGTGACTTGCTCAGAGTCAGGCACAAGAGTGGGTGCCCCGTCCGTGTTCGTTGAGTGAATCTAGGTCAGCATCTCCTTCCTCACTCCTGGTAGGGAAACGGAGGCACAAGAGGAGCTGTGTCTTGTGCGGTTGGTCTGCGGAGGAAGGAGAATCCTACACCAAAGCGTTCTCTTCTCAAGTGTGCCTGTGCCGCCTTGAGCCCAGACTGGTTTGAAGTTTGATGATAAGCTTTTTTTTTTCTTTTTTCTTTTTTGCATATCCCCTTTCTGTACCCATGTTGATGTAGGATGGATGGCACCTTAGCCCCTCACTTGGGGCTTCCATTGGTGTAGTCAGAGTGTCTGAAATGTCCTTCCATGATTGAGAACTGTTAAGCAGCGCGACCAGCAACAGCCTCTGATGCTTGTGAAAACAGTGTGAGTTCTGACTCTTAAGCCATGAAACCATCCTTCAGGATTAGCAGAGCGTTGGCAGATTCCTCAGAACCCTCGGTTTGAGGGTAATTCCAAATGTGGTTCAAAAGGAGGAAAAGGGAAATGCCACTGTCGCATCCAACCTGTGGTTTTTCAATGTGAATTATGTTTTTAATCATTTAACGTTCAACTAACATTAATTCAGTGCCTGCTATGTAGTACGGATGGAGAGATGAAGATGACACAGTGCCTGTCATCAAAAAATTCACAGATTAGTGGGGAGGGCAGACCACGTGTTCGGGCTGCACATATGTGAGCAGAGATGGATGGTAGCTAGGCAAGGGTGGAGGTGATGTCTGAGCTGAGTTTAAAGAATGATTAGGACGTAGTTAGCTTTTAATGGCTATGCCGGTGCAGAGGAAAGGGTGGGAAAGGCTTAAACTAAACACATGGAGAATATGAGGAAGCAGCTGCTAATTTGGAGTTCTTGGTGCTTAAAAGTTGATACAGGGAAGTACAAAAGAAGAGACCAGAAAGACAAATGGGGGCCTTTGGTCAGGACCAGGGGCTCAGCATTTCTCCGTTAGGGTGGCATGGTCTGATTTGGCTTGAGACTTTGTGGTGAGTGGATTTGGCACTGGGAAGACTGGAAACGTGGATACCAGGGAGGAAGCTGGCTCTGAAGGCCAGGCCAGGCCAGGCCGATGAGGCCACGGGGGGGAGGATGGAGAAGACGGGATGAATTTGACCAACAGGAGAATTGTCAGTTAGGATCCTTGGGTTGCAAGCAACAGAAGCTTAAGTCTGGTAACAATGTCGACAAAGATTGCATTAGAAATATTGATGGAAACTCACAGAATTAAGAGCATCCCTGAAGAACCAGGCAGGGAACAGACAGGAATTAGGCAGTCCAGGGGATTTCAGTGGCAGGAATTGACTTATGGTCCCTCACAGGGGATGCTATGGGAGTAAATGACATCCAACCTTTTCTATTATTATTGAGGTAGGAGGTGGGACTCCACACTGGAGGTGGGGCTCAGGCACTGGACCAAATTGAGGACCAGCTAAAACAGGGCTGGGGCCGAAGCAGCTTTCCATAAGACACACCCACCGTGCACCATGTCAGTTTACCATTGCCATGGCAACAACTGGAAGTTATGGCCCCTTTCCAAGGCAATGACCCAACCACCTGGAAGTTACTATCCTATTTCTATAAATTTCTGCATAAACTGTCCTTAATTTGCATGCAACTAAAAGTGGGTATAAATATGCCTACAGCACAGCTGCTGGGCTGCCACCCTGGACACACTGCCTAGGGAGTAGCCCTGCTCCACCAGAAGGAGCGTCTCTGCTGCTGTATGCTGCTGCTTCAATGACAGTTGCTGTCTACCATTCACAGTAGCATAGACATGGAGTCATCCTAAATGCCCATCAATGATAGACTGGATAAAGAAAATGTGGTACATGTACACCATGGAATACTATGCAGCCGTAAAAAGGAATGTAATCATGTCGTTTGCAGGGACATGGATGGAGCTGGAGGCCATCATCCTTAGCAAACAGAGGAACTGAAAACCAAATACTGCATGTTCTCACTTATAAGTGGGAGCTAAGTGATGAGAACATAGGGACACGTGGATACACACACACTCAGACACCAGGGCCTGTTGGGTGGTGGAGGTTGTTAGGAGGGAGAGCATCAGGAAGAATAGCCAGTGGATGCTGGGCTTAATACCTGGGTGATGGGATGATCCGTGCAGAAAACCACCATGGTACACATTTACCTCGGTAGCAAAACAGACCTGCACATCGTGCACATGTACCCCTGAACTTAAAAGTTGGAAGAAACAATACAGTGAATTAGTAAGTAAGTAAATAGATATTCTGTGACTATTAAAAAACAAAGTTGCTGTCTCACACACCTGGCTGGCCCTTGAATTCTTTCCTGGGCAAAGCCAAGAACCCTCCCAGGTTAAGCCCCAGTTGTGGGGCTCACCTGCCCTCCATCATTATTATTGTATTATTCTGCTGCATTCAGGGTGCTCAGAGGCCATGTCCGACTGTGGCATAGTTTTGGGTCCTTATATCTAGGGGCAGTTTTCTGAAAAGTCACTGGGATCAGGAGAGATTGTTTTCTGAAGGGATACTGGAATGATTCTGCTAAAAGACAGTGACAGCAATGTTGGGCTTGTCTTCCATAGAAGACAGAATTGACAGGACTTATTAATTGGTGTGGGAGTGGGTTTCTGGTTTAGGTAACAGGGTGGAGAAGCAAAATTGAAGTCTGAACAAGACCAAGTAACTGGTTTGCTTTCCCACCGGCAGTGCCGTGGGCAGCTCTCCATGACCAGGCTATCGGAGAGGGTGACAATCTATTTTAAAAAGTCTCATTAAGGGACTGTGCTGCTGTGAATAAGACCTATTTAAGCAGGTTACTTTATCTCATGCACCACAAATCTGGATTCTTTGAAGATGCTTTCATTCATCCAAGCAGTATGTACTGAGCATGTTTGGTTCAGGTGCTGGGAAAATGATGAGTTAGTCAGGCAGAGATGGTACTCTTATTGTCTAGTGGTGTAAGACACAATAAAAAATATAAAAATAAAGTTGGAGGATATAATTGAGACAGATGCAGTGGCTACGTCAGATTGGATGGCAAGAAAGGTTTCATTGTTTTTTTTTGTTTTGTTTTATTTTTGAGACAGTCTTGCTCTGTTGCCCAGGCTGCCAGGCTGGAGTACAGTGGTGCGATCTTGACTCACTGCAACCTCTGCCTCCTGGGTTCAAGTGATTCTCCTGCCTCAGCCTCCTGGGAGCTGGGATTACAGGCATGCACAACCATGCCCAGCTAATTTTTCTTTTTTTTTTTTCTTTTTTTTTGAGACGGGGCCTTGGTTTGTCATCCAGGCTGGAGTGCAGTGGCATGATCTTGGCTCACTACAAGCTCTACCTCCCAGGTTCAAGCAATTCTCCTGCCTTAACCTCCCGAGTAGCAGGGATTACAGGCGCCTGCCACCACACCCAGCTGATTTTTGTATTTTTAGTAGAGATGGGGTTTCATCATGTTGACTAGGCTGGTCTTGAACTCTTGACCTCAGGTGATCCCCCCACCTTGGCCTCCTGAAGTGCTAGGATTACAGGCGTGGACCACCCAACCTGGCCTCATTTTTGTATTTTTAATAGAGACAGGACTTCCGCATGTTGACCAGGCTGGTCTCGAACTCCTGACCTCAAGTGATCCACCTGCCTTGGCCTCCCGAACTGCTGGGATTATAGGCATGAGCCACCGTGCCCAACCAAGAAAGGTCTCACTGATGAGCTGTAATTAGGCTGACACCAGAATGACATGAAGGGATAATGGGGGAAATAACTGCAGAAGGACTTCCAGGGCGTGGGGAAAGCCAGTGCAAAAGCTTCCAAGCGGGAAGGAGCTGGGCTCATTGGAGGAGAAGGAAGGAAGCTAGTGTGGCAGGAGAGGAGCTTGGAGGTGGCGGCTAGCTCGTATGGGCCACGCCGTGGAGTTTGGGTTTGATACCGAGTTCAGTAGCAGCGGCTGAAGGGTTTTGAACGGGTGAGTGATGTCACTTTGTTAGTCTGTATTTCCCAGAGATCATCCTATATCCAGCTGTCCATTCCACCAGCACTACCTCGGTACAAAAAAGTGAGTATCCATCAGAGTGTGAAATAAAATGTAGTGTTTAAGAGTAGCAGATGGAGAGAAAATGCTTTCGTGGCCTTAATTTGGTGATTAATTGAGGATATAAACAAAACTGCAATCATAATATGACTGCAGTTTTGTTTAAAAATGCGGTACAGAAGAACAATGGGAATAAATGGACCAAAAATGTTAGCAGTGCTTGTCCAAAGGTGTGGGCATGACGAGTGAGTTTATGGTTTTGCAAATGAGCACACATTTCTTTCATCGTCAGGAAAAGATTTGTTTTAAAATGTAGACACCGGGCCAGGCACTGTGGCTCGAGTTTAACCCCAGCACTTTGGGAGGCTGAGATGGGTGGATCACGAGGTCAGGAGATCAAGACCAGCCTGGCCAACATGGTGAAAGCCCGTCTCTACTAAAAATACAAAAAATTAGCCAGTGGTGGTGGTGGGCGCCTGTAATCCCGGCTCCTTGGGTGGCTGAGACAGGAGAACCACTTGAATCCGGGAGACGTGGGTTTCAGTGAACCAAGAATGTGACACTGCACTCCAGCCTGGGTGACAGAGCAAGACTGTGTCTCAAAAAAAAAAAAAAAAAAAAAAAAAAAAAAAATAAATAAATAAAATGTAGACACCGATGATCACCAATGCCTTGAATAGAGTGTCGGAGACTATATCTATTAAACACTTTCTTCCTGCCATCAGACTATATCTATTAAACACTTTCTTCCTGCCATCTTATTTTGGAAATTTTAATCTAAAAAACCCACGGTCCTGGCTGGGACAGAAGAGGGTGCTCACTGTGTTAGTCTGTTCTCACGCTGCTAATAAAGACATGCCTGAGACTGGGGAATTTATAGAGGAAACAGGTTTAGTGGACTCACAGTATCACATGGCTGGGGAGGCCTCACAATCATGGTGGAAGTTGAAGGAAGAGCAAGGGATGTCTTCCATGGCAGCAGGCAAGAGAGCTTGTGCAGGGAACTGCCATAACCGTGTGATCTCATGAGACTTATTCACTACCATGAGAGCAGTATGGGGGAAGCCGCTCCATGATTCAGTTATCTCCACCTGGCCCCGCCCTTGACACTTGGGAATTACTGTAATTCAAGGTGAGATTTGGGTGGGGACACAGCCAAACCATATCACTTATTTTGACCAAGTGCCCAATGAGTGGCTCCGTTTTATGCTTAAGACATTTTTTAGTGATGAAAGTAAACATTCTTTTTTAAAAAATTAAAAGCTATACGGAAATGTTACATTGAAAATGGAAGGTACCTTACTTCACTCTCATTCTCAATACGATTAACGTTTCAAGTACATATATTGTTAGATTTTTTTTTTAATCCATGGATTTCAAATACATACATCTAAATTTTGTTGAATTTGGGATATTGCTGTAAGAATACCATGCTTCTAAATTACTCTCCAAATTCCTTGTAGAGGTTGAAACCAAGAAGACTTTTTCTCTCCCTTTGAAACAAACTATTAGGAAATTTGAACATATAACTTAACTAAGAAAAACTGAACCTTGCCTTTTTAGTATTCAGAGTGTTACTGAAGCATAATTTATACTTATGAAGAGTAGAGAAATTATTCATTAAAAGCTCATTTCTGAACATTTAAACATTATTGCTTTGGTATTGGATCGCAAAAGTTTGTATCATGATTACAAATCACTTGTACTTTTTTAGGAACAAAAGCTAGGCAACAGGAAAACTTAGAAGTACAGATTAGACAGCTTGGCTAATGATTTTGGTGTCATATTTGTTGTAACTGAATATTATTCTTTGGAAACAGGAAAAGAAAAACATTCACTGACGTGTTTATTTATTTACTTATTTATTTTTGTGACGGAGTCTTGCTCTGTCACCTAGGCTGGAATGCAGTGGCACGGTCTTGGCTTACCTCAACCTCCGCCTCCCAGGTTCAAGTGATTCTCCTGCCTCAGCCTCCCAAGTAGCTGAGATTACAGGTGTGTGCCACCATGCCTGGCTAATTTTTTGTATTTTTAGTAGAGACGGGGTTTCACCACACTGGCCAGGCTGGTCTTGAACTCCTGACCTCAAATGATTCTCTCCTACCTTGACCTCCGAAAGCGCTGGGATTACAGGTGTGAGTCACCACGCCCGGCATCAGTAAAGTGTGACTCAGAACCGCTGATGTGTTCTGAAGAGCTGGACATCCACAGGAAGCCCAAGTCGACCATGTGGCCTCATCCTACAGACTGGGCTTGGGGGTTTAAGTGTCAGGAATTAACTGCCACTGATTGTCTCAATATGACTGATTAATGTTGGGTTGGACTCTCATTATGTGATTCAGCAGAATTACTACCTTAAAAAAATCATTGATTCAACATATCCTTTTGTGCTGAAGAGAAGAATGAGTATGTGTTTAGAAGACATTGACTGCAAAGTAGTAGAACCATGGAATGTAAAGGAGAGGAGGAACTGGTTAGTTCATTTTACAGATGGGAGACTCAGTCAGAGAGATTGAGTGACATGTCTGCTGCCAAACAGAGTTCATGTCACACCCCAGAGCCCGTTCCCCTACACACAGCCGTGGCCCCGTGTTATTGGAAACCGAATTTATTTTCATAAACCCAAGAATTAGGGAAATGCTCCAAACCTCATGAAAACCAGGAGGGTTTTTGAGCTGTTCATTCATTCTGTAAAGTGTAATCTGTTTTGCGTACTGATAACAGGCCTAATTACTGTGTAAACATTTTTATAGCCTGGTAAGAAAACCTCAAACATCTGTACTGAACACTTATGTGGCGTCTCAGCCCCCGGCATTCCTGCCGCTGGTTCGGAAAACCAGTTGCTTGTTTTTTTAATGTGATCTGTGGGTGATGATTCATTTTGTATGCGTACACGTAAACATACTCCATCTCAGCAGGAAGTGACACATCGTAGCGGCAAACTAGCTTAGCACTTTGTTCGTGTCATCTGCTTTATTTCTCCCATTCTGCAGATGGAGAAACAGGGGGGTGGCAAGATTTGGTAAGCAGCGCAGGGTCACAGCTTAGCCCTTGGAAACCCAGAGGTATGTGAGCCGCTAGCTGGAGTGCCTGTCCAGGACAAGCAAACTTTGTGTAAAGAAGATCAGGATCCGAGTTTGTGAAACCACTTTCAGTAGTTAAATCAAGGCCGGGCACAGTGTCATCCATGTCTGTCATCCCAGCTCTTGGGGAGGCCAGGAGTTTGAGACCAGCCTGGCCAGCATGGCGAAACCCTGTCCCCACTAAAAAATACAAAATCTAACCAGGGGTGGTGGTGGGCGCCTGTAATCCCAGATACTCAGGAGGCCGAGGCAGGAGAATCGCTTGAACTGGGAGGCAGAGGTTGCCGTGGTGGAGGCTGCAGGGAGCTAAGATTGCACCACTGCATTCCAGCCTGGGTGGCAGAACAAGACCCTGTCTCCAAAAAATAAACAAAACCCACCAAAAAACAGTTAAGTCACATTTTGTTTGGGTAAAACGCCCAGATGTCAAGTGGCAGAGAGGTCTCTGCAAGGTTATTGCATTTTCCCGCCTGTTTTGTGGGTTGCCATCAGTCCGTTTTCTCCGTGAGTCACTTGGTGGTAGCAGGTCACCAATCAGTCTTCTGCCCTCGGCTGAAATACGTAGGTGGTTTTCTTTTCCTGCCGAGACCCAAACCGGAAGTGAGTTGCATGGCTGTTACCCTGCTTCTGAGCTCTGGTGATCCTGTACTGCTTGTTGGCTTTTGACTCGGTCCCTGCATTATTTTTTATTTTATTTATTTATTTTTGAGACAGAGTTTTGCTGTTGTTGCCCAGGCTGGAGTGCAACGGTGCAATCTCAGTTCACTGCAGCCTTACCTCCCAGGTTCAAGTGATTCTCCTGCCTCAGTCTCCCGAGTAGCTTGGATTACAGGCGACTGCCACCATGCCTGGCTAATTTTTTTTAGTAGAGACAGGGTTTCACCATGTTGGCCAGACTGA